TCTCTCTACTGCCTTTCATTCCCAAGCCCAGTTTTTATTTATTTATTACATATACAGCCACACAGAAAGAGAATGTCTATGACCTGCACAGGGCACCGAGCTGGGGGGACAAAGAGAGGGATGGGAACCCAGATGAGTGATAGGAAGCCTGGAACACCGTTCCTGGGTGTTCAGAAAAAGGGGGACCCCAAAGGCGCTGAAGGTGATCACACTGACCAGGAGCTGGAAGGAGCAAGGGAGGATACCTCCTTCTCTTGGGAAAGGGGACCGAGCACCTGGCCAGGAATGGGGGGAACAGGGGGCACAGCCACAAGGAGCCCGGGCCCAGTGCCTCCCCGCTGTCACAAGCAGAGCCACCGGGAGTCCTGCAGGGAGGGAGGCTGCTCCTCCCCTCTAATCAGCTCACTGCTGACTCACCCCAAGCTTAGGGACTTTTTCTGAGGCACAGCTGGCCTCGCCCATCCTGTCGGCGATTGGGTGATTTGGGGGAACTGAAGCAGCACTGGCCCCAGGCCCCCCTTGCTATGGGCTGGGGCAAGCACTCCCTTTGGGAAAGAATGTCTCTGAGAACTGCTCCATTTTTATCTTTGTACCACAGGCAAACTGCGGGTGCTTAATAACTGCTTATTTACAGAATGATTGATCTGGATTTAAATCCCAGCTGCTCTAAGTCATTTCCCCTTCTGAGCCTCACTTTCTTTATCTGCAATATGGGCTCAAGGTCCTTCCAGCTCTAACAGCTCCTAGAATCGACCCCAGAGCTGGAAGTGAGGGAGCTTCCCTGAAGGGGGCTGGGGTCTCCCCAGCTCCCCTCTCTCAGGCATATCTGTTACCACCAACACCCTGGAGAGCAGTGGGAAGGCAGCGAGTGCCTGCTCTTGGCCGGGGACCCAAGGCCTCATCAGGAACTACTTGAGGGTGGAGAGGAGGGTGGCAGAGCTGTGTTGCTAACATGTGTAACCCAGCTTTGCAACCTTCAAGTATTAATAAAACTTTGAACAGCAAGGGACGAAGGGGAGGCTGGACTAGACCCAAACCCTGGATCTTATAGACGGGGAAACTGAGGCTCGGAGAAGGGATTTGTCACTTGGGTGACTTTGGGCAGTCTCTTCCCTTTGGGGCTCAGTTTTCCCCTCTGTAAAATCTGGGGTTTGGGTTTAATTGGATTAGCTCTAGAATTCTATGATTATTTCATCCATCTGTAAAAGCTGTGGGTGGGAGGGTGGAGTGAGCAGGGCGAGGTCCCAGTTCTGACAGGTGCCCAGACAGTGAACAGGACAAACAGCCCTGACTGAGGAACAGAGGGAGGTTCAGGGCTCCTGGCTGACCCTCATCCCTGTCCCTGGCCCTCGGGGCTGTTGAGGCCAGGAATGCAGATAAAAAAAGTCTTCTCCTTTTGTCTGGGGCCAGCACCCTCCCCTGGGGTGGGGCAGCCAGATGCCAGCTGACCTTCTAGGAACAGAGGACCTTCGGAGGAACAGAGGGAGGTTCAGGGCTCCTGGCTGACCCTCATCCCTGTCCCTGGCCCTCGGAGCTGTTGAGGCCAGGAATGCAGATAAGAAAAGTCTTCTCCCTTTGTCTGCGGCCAGCACCCTCCCCTTTGGTGGGGCAGTCAGGTGCCAGCTGACCTTCTCTGGACAACGTCAATAGCAGTTTTAGCCCCAGTTCTCTGGCCCAGCAGGGGCAGAACCCTGCCTCCAGCTAAGCCAATCACAAGAGAGAGGCCGGGCTCTGCTGGCCAATGGCCTGAATTAGGTTCCCGTTGGCCCCTGGGCAGAAGCCAGAGTACCGGTCATGCTGCTGTGAGGTCAGGATGGGAAGGGAAAGGCGGCATGTGACTAGCTGGTCTCCACAAAGCAGTAGCTCTGAGTGATTTGCCCCGCCCCCACCTCCATCGATGGACAGCAGCTCCCACCATGGGCTCCTGTTGGCCAGGGTGGTTCTGGGGCTAGAAGGGCCCTCAGGGACCCTCTAGGTCAGGGGCTCTGTGCCTTGCTTGTGCCTGGACCCCCCCCCCCGACCCTGCCAGGGGAGCCTGGTGAAGCCTAGCCGTGGACCTCTCCTTAGAATCATGTTCTTAAATACATCAAATAAGATACAAAGGAAATCCATGACAGAGAAATCTAGTGACCCACACATTAAGCCCCCTCCCCAGGTCACAGACACCTCCACCCCGACAGAACTCAGGTGAGGACACTTAGTCACAGGGGCAGAAGGCCAGGCTCTGAGGAGTCATGGGCAGTGCCCAGGCCAAAGGCAGCCAGTCCTCCCACTCCAGAGCCCGAGAAGCCTGCCCAGGGGGCACTGCTCCCAACCCAGGGGGTTCCTCTGCTCACCACAGGGCACACTGGTTCAAAGTAAGCCAAGTGAGCCTGGTCTCCACCAGATGCCCAAGCAGGAGCAGCAGCCCCACTCCACCTGCGTGGCTGGCACCAGATGCCCTTTGCAGTCTGGCGTCTTATACCCTCCCTCCAGCTCCGCCAGGCACCAGGTACCTTCCCTCACCGCTAGGCCAGGAACACCCAGCCTCCTCTGACCTAGCTCAGGGGCGCTTCCTCCAAGAAGCCTTCCCTGAATCGCCTTGAAAAAGGCCATGGCAGGCAGGGCAAAGAACAAACACTGGGCTGGGTGTGAAGCCAGACTATTTCTGTGACCTCAGGTGACTGGGACCCCAACGCTCAACCTCTCTGGGCCTGTAAAGTGGGGATAAAGACAGCACCCCCCCTCCTAGGGAAAGAATATTTGTAAAGTGGAATCTTAGTGTTGTGTGTTCTGGGCTCATGCTCACGGGAGGCTCTGGAAAACTGCACCTCAGTTTTCCTTTCTGTACAATGGGGTGGGGTGGCTTGGGGAACTTTAAGGACCCTTCCCTCTAAACCACTCTTGGGCAAAAGCCATTAGGGCAGTTTCCACTTGGGAAGCCTTGGATTTTCCCACTCTTTGAACTTGTGCCCTTCACCCCCATCAACTATTGCCTTCTTTACAACTGCCCGGGAGGTCAAGGGAGACGAGGCAGAGGGGAGCAAAGGATGCTCACTGGGACAGCTGCCAGGGAGGAAGAGCAGAGAGCATCATGGGGGGAGGGGGGAGGAGGGGGAAGGGAGGGAGAGGGGAGAAGGGAAGAGGAGGAGGAGGAGGAGGGGGCGGAGGGGAAGGGGAAGAGGGAGAGGAGGAGGGGGAGGGGGACAGGAAGAGGGGGAAGGGGATGGGGAAGGGAGGAAGAAGGGAGAAGGGAAGAGGAGGAGGAGGAGGTGGGGGGAGGGGGAAGGGAAGAGGGGGAGGGGGGAGGAAAGAAGAGGAGGAGGTGGGGGGAGGGGGGAGGGGAGGGGGAAGGAAGAAGGGAGAAGGGAAGAGGAGGAGGAGGTGGGGGGGAAGGGGAAGGGAAGAGGGGGGAGGAGGAGGGGGAGGGGACAGGAAGAGGGGGAAGGGGATGGGGAAGGGAGGAAGAGGGGAGAAGGGAAGAGGAGGAGGAGGAGGAGGGGGGAGGGGGAAGGGAAAAGGGGGGAGGGGAGGAAAGAAGAGGAGGAGGTGGGGGGAGGGGGAGGGGAGGGGGAAGGAAGAAGGGAGAAGGGAAGAGGAGGAGGAGGTGGGGGGGAAGGGGAAGGGAAGAGGGGGAGGAGGAGGGGAGGGGACAGGAAGAGGGGGAAGGGGATGGGGAAGGGAGGAAGAGGGGAGAAGGGAAGAGGAGGAGGAGGAGGAGGGGGAGGGGGAAGGGAAGGGAGGAGAGGCCACCCAGGCCAGTTGTGGATCAGGGTCAGGCTGAGGCTCCTGCTCCAGTAGGGCGGGGGGACCCAGGCTTTTCCTCAAAGTCCCTGATATTTCACCATCTGATGGACAACTGTGGGGTCACAGAAGCAGGAGGTGGGGCTCCACGTGAACAGAAAGAGGAGGAAAGTGGAGGCGGGCAGGCTCTATCGAGGGCTCAGATGCCAGGGGCACCCAGGGCCTCAGCCCCACCTCCAGCCCTACAAACATCTACCTCCATTTCCTGAGTGTGTTGAGGCTCACAAAGACCTGAGGCCACAATGACCAAGTTCATCCTTATCTTTACAAAGGGCAGAGGGCAGAGCTGGAGCCAGAAGCCAGGCTGGCAGCTTCTTGGGCTACCTCAGGTCCCTCCCCCAGGGCCCATTTCCCAGATGACCCCTTCTCCACCCTACCCCATGCTCATTCACTTCTCCCCAGGCTCCTGCCTGACCACCCCTATGGTGTCTGCTGTGTCCAGGCAATCGGCCTGAGCAGACCCACACCTCCCCTCCCTTTCCAAGCCTGGCCCTAGGGCCAGGTGAGGGTTGGAGGTCCTGGTTGGAATCCTGGCTCTGCTCAGGGCACCTACCAGACCTGGCACAAGCAAATCTCTTCCTCCGTCTGCGCCTCAGTTTCCTGCTCTGTAAAATGGGCAAATGACCCCGGGGGAATCACTTGTCTATGTCCTCACTAGCACCTCTCTTCCCTCCTTCTCCCAGGGTGGTTGTACGAGAAGGAAACCCTGGAAAACCTTAAAATGTGGTACAAAGGTGACTATTAACTTAGTTATTATCCAGTGACTGAAGCCTCAGTTTTCCGATCTGCATGATGGGGGTAACCCAATGGGGGCCCACCTCATGGGGTTGTTAGCCCTGGCAGGGTCCCCAGTGGTCACGTGGGCCAGTCCTCATTACTGTCCAGCCTCTGCTCAGAGCCCGCTCAGGAGGGAGAGGCAGCTCTCAGGGACGGCTTGTGAGTGGCAGAGTGGGCTCTGCACCTGGGTCTCCCTAAATGCTGCCCCAAGTGAGTCTGAGTGTCTGACTAAGGAAGGCTAAGGAAGGCACTGCACCTGCTAGGCCTCAGTTTCCCATTCTGTCAAACAAAAGAGCTGGACAGGACAGCCCACGAGATCCCTTCCAGCTCTGAATCTACAGCTCGATGGTAGGGTAAACTACCATGAGTGGGCCTCTGGAGGATAAGGGGCTGGGCAGGAAGAGAGGGGGCTGGGGGGGGTGGCCAGCCCCAGATCTTACTCCATCTCCTTCTCCTCGGCCTCCTCGTGGCTGATATCCTCCTCCACACTATAATCCAGGATAGAGCCGACCCCAAAGGCCTTGTTGTGATGGATCAGAGGCTTGATGGCCTCCTGGTCCTCGCCGGCCACAAACTGCCCATAGAAAGTCATCTTCATCAGTCGGTCAAACAGGTGCCGGCCCAGCAGCTTCTGGGACACTTGGAGCAGCTGAGGACACAAACAAAACGCCTTCAGGCCACGGGCTCACCGAGGCCTGCTGGGGGGTCGCCAGCTTGCCACCTCTACTCCATGTCACTGCTCAGGGGGCAGAAGGGTCACCCAGACCCAACCAGGGGCAACGTGGGGGGATGACTGATGGGGCTGAGGGCACAGAGGGCCGTGACCACGTGGCTCTAGCCCCTGCTTCGCCTCCAGCCCCACTCCCTCACACCCTCCTCCATCCCCAAAGGGCTGTGCTGATTACTCCTTATCTGTGTATACAGGTTGCTGCCTCTGCCCCAGTCACCACGAGCGCCCTGAGGCAGGGACACTTTGGGGTTTCTCTTTGCAGCCCCAGCACTGAGCATGGAATGTAGACCCTGCATGTAGCAGAGGCTGCATCTGTGATGCAGGGATAACAGCAGCATCTACCTCCCGGGGGGGTCGTGAGGCTCCCGTGTGGAGTGCCTGGATCCTCATGAGTGGGGTCACAGATGAAGAGCTGGAAGGGGCCCAAGATCACTGAGACTGGCCTCGATTTCACAAATGGGTGGAAGTGACCAGCCCAGGGTCACCCAGCTCATCAGGGTGCTAGGGCACACTCGGACCCCTTGACCATACTCAGTGCCTCTGTCCCTGGCCCTCCCTTGGAGCCTCCCTCGAGGTTACCTCACATTACCCAATTTTCGGCAACAGAGTTTAGGAAAAGGTCATGTGGCCCCTTCCCTCCTCCCACTTCCCAAGCACCTAGGGCAGCAGGAGGGCAGGAGTCCTGGCTGGGCCTGTCCTCTGGGAGGCTGCACCCAAGAAAAGGCCCGGCCTTGGGGCAATCAGGGCATGAACACAGGAAGCCCTGTGGATGAGCCAACTGGGCTGTCAAGGGGCAGAAGCAGCTGCAAAGCCCAGCCCTCAGCCCGGGCTTTGCCCTTCTCTGAAAAAGCCAGGCATTCCCACTCTCTGGCCACGTCCTTCTCCCCATATAACACTGCCATTGTTCCTGGGTGGGCTCCATCAATCTACTCCGATGGCCCCTCATCCTCCGGATCTCCTTTAGAATGGGTGAGAAGGCATTCCTCAGAACTTACAAGGTATCAAGCCCTAACGCAAAAGCCAAGACAAAGCCTCATGGAGCTGACACTCTAGTGGGTGGTGGGAACAGCCCTAAAAGGGGAGGAGCAGCCAGTGAGGGACATGTTAGTCACATGGATGGTGAGGGGGGTCGCAGGGGAGGAGACTGACCCACCGTGCCCTGATGGTGGATCAAGATTCCAGACCTGCGGGAGCCAAGGTGGTGGAGTAAAAAGGTAGTCACTCTCACTCTCCCCTAATCAACCTCTGAAAACCCAGAAAATATCACCCCAGAAGAAAACCCTGGAACAGCTGAACTAGAGGAAAGACAGGGAACAGTAGTGCAGCGGCCCAGCAAATGGGTCTCCCAGTGCCTCAGCAAAACTAGGGGAAGCAGCACTGCAAAGGACCCCAGGCGGATAAGCACCCTGCAGCATTCATCTGAAAGGAGCTGAAGAAAGCAACCGAGAGTCTTCCTAAAGTCCCAGCCTTGCTGACTCCAACCCAACACCAGGTAAGCTGTCAGAACCCTACAGCCTCCAACTGTCAACCAGGAGGAGATCCTGAAGCCCAGGTGGTAGAACAGGCAAACACCAATACCTGGACCTCTGAGTGCCTCAGTGAGGGCGGGAGGAACAGGTGGAAACCAGCTCAGAAAACCACCAGGTGCCTCAGCACTCTACCACAAAGGAATCTCCCAGTGCATTAGCAGAAACAAGGGAGGCAGCATTGCAAGGGGCCCCAGGCAGATAAACACCCTGCAGCACCCATCTAAAAGGAGCTGAAGAAAGCTAAAGGAAAGGAAAAGCAGGCAACCTAGAATTGCCTGAAAGTTCCAGCCTTGCTGATTCCAGCCCAACACGAGGTAAGCTGCCAGAAACCTACAGCCTCCAATTGCCAACATAAGAGGCCCCAGCACACAAAGCCAGTGACCAAGACCTAGGCTCCCAACACAAGAAGCTTGGGTCAGTGCCCTCTGTTCCTCAGCGGGAGAGCTCAATCTCTTTAAAGGCCAGGGAATAAAGAAACACCATGAGTAAAAAGAAATGTACCATAGATTCATATTATGAGAAGAGTGAAGATCAAGACAGAAATTCTGAAGAGGACAACATTGTCAACAAACCCACATCTGCAACATCAAAAGGGAATATGAACTGGTCTGAAGCCCAAAAAGCCTTCTTAGAAGAGCTCAAGAAGGATTTTAAAAGTCTAATGAGAGAGGTAGAAGAGTCCTTAAAAAATACAATTGGCCAATTGGAAAAAAAGTACACTGAAGAAAACAATCCCTTAAAAAACAATTGGCCAATTGAAGAAGGAAGTACAAAAACTAACAGAAGAAAACAATCTGTTAAAAACTAGAATTGGACAAATGGAAACTAATGACTCTATGAGAGAGCAAGAATCAGTCAAACAGAAACAAAAAAATGAAAAAATGGATGAAAACATAAAATACCTCATGGTAAAAACCCGACCTGGAAAATCGATCCAGGAGAGACAATTTAAAAATCATTGGATTATCTGAAAATCATGATGAAAAAAAGAGCCTGGACAGTATCTTTCAGGAAATCATAAAGGAAAACTGCCCAGAAGTCCTAGAACCAGAAGGGAAAATAACCATAGAAATATACCACTCACCACCTGAAAGAGATCCGAAATTGAAAATGCCAAGGAATGTAATAGCAAAACTTCAAAATTACCAGATGAAAGAGAAGGTGCTGCAAGCAGCCAGAAAGAAACAATTTAAATATCATGGAATCACAGTCAGGATTACACAGGACCTTGCAGCTTCTACATTAAAAGACCTCAGGGCATGGAACATGATATTCCTAAGGCAAAGGAGCTTGGATTGCAGCCAAGGATCAACTACCCTGCAAAAATGAGCATGATTCTTCAAGGGAGGAGATGCATAGTCAACGAAAATAGGGGACTTCCAAACCTTCCTCATAAAAAGACCAGAGCTCAACAAAAAAACTGATCTTCAAGTACAAGATTCAAGAAAGATACAAAAAGATAAATGGGACAGAAAGATACAAATTGTTGTTAATAAGGGCGGGACTGTTTACATCCCTACAAGGGAAGATGACACTTGCAACTCTTGAGAACTGTATTGTTATTACACCATGTTAAAGGAGTATACATAAAGGGGGTGGATATTAGTTGACTTTGATGTAATGATAAAAAAAATCTAATCAAGTGGGTTAAATGGATCCAAGTAAGTGGATTAGTCTGATCTTAGAAAATGTACTGAGAAAGGAGGAGGCAGTAAATTACATTACAGGAAAAGACAGAAAATCCTGTTACAGCAGAGGGAGAAAAGGGAGGGGGGTGAGCATTGTTTGAACCTTGCTCTCATCAGATTTGGAATAACATAATCAGTTAGGTATGGAAATCTAAGTTGCCCTATGGGCAGTAGGAGGGAAAAGGGGAAAGAAAAGGGAGGGGGATGGAAGGGAGGGAAGAAGCAGTGGGGGGAAGGGAAGAGGGGAAGGGGATAATAGAAGGGAGGAGAGACTGAAGGAGGCAGTGGTCAAAAGCAAAGTACTGGTGAGGGGGGAAGGGAGAAAGGAGAAAGAAAAGCATAAACAGGGAGAAAAAAGGATGGAGAAAAAGACAGTAATCATAACTGTGAAAGTTGAATTGCTATCTTTTTTTTTCTCTCTTCTGTTGAGTTTTGCTTCCTCTTTCTGATGGTTCCTCCTATTGGTTTTAATTTTTACTTACAACTTCACTAATGTGAAAATATGTTTAATAGGAATGTAAATGTATAGCCTATATCAGATTGTGCACTGTCTTGGGGAGGGTGGTGGGGAGGAAGGGGGAGAAAAATTTTCAACTCAAAAGCATATGGAAGTGATTGTTGATAAATCAAAATAAATTAATAAAAATTTTTTAAAAATAAAAGAAACACAGAATTTCCAGACGGGAAAAAAAGGAAAGAATCTGGTGAAAACAGCATGCTGATGACTCTGGGGAGCCCCTGCCAAGTTCCCAGCAGAGAACTGATCCCCTCGGTCAGCAGGCTCCAACCTAGGCCAGAGAGGACCATCCCCCTGACACTCACTATTTGTAAGCCTCATTATAGTGACTCTGGCCTGGCACAAGAATGCCCCTACTTTAAACAGGGCTTCCAAAGCCTTCTAAGCTGGGCCCGGAGCATGGAGAGAGCACGTGATTAAGGTTGTCTTGGCCAGAATCACTGGTCAGTCTACAGGATCTTGTCGGCAGACGTCTGGAAGGCTGTGCCCACCAACAGATGAGCTTGAGTTAGTTCAGAGAAACCTTGGCCCGTCCTCATTACGTGGCTGGAAACCAGGCTTTTTAGGGCCAAATTCTGCCATGAATTCACCCTCTCTCAGGGCTGGGGAAGAGGCCTCAGAGGCTTCTTGTCCAGAAACAGGACCCTCTTCTGCCCAAAGTCCTTCAGGGAGGTGAAACCCATCACCTCAGGAGGAAACCCATTCCACTTGGGGACACTCCAGAAGCTGTACTAACAATGCTATGCACCAGAAAGCACCAGGGAGTGGGACCCACAAAAGCGAAAGCCATTCTCTGCCCTCAACGCTTACAGTACCTGTGGCCTGAGGGCTTGGAGGAAGGAAGGCCACTGTACTGCGTTCAGGGTATAATACGGTTTCTAACCTGAATTCTCATTTCCCTCTGTAAACAAGGCGTGTGTGTGTGTGTGTGTGTGTGTATGTGTGTGTGTGTGTGTGTGTGTGTGTGTGTGTGTGTGTGTGTGTGTGTGTGTAGGGGTCCCCCAAAAAGTTCCTTGCTCTTCTCAACCCCCAAGGGCTGGACAACCTTTCCCACTGTGATCCCAAAGAGGAATGAGCACAGGGGTCAGTGGGGCCTTTGCCAACTGGATCTCGTCTGGCTTCAGCAGGACAGCCATGAACACCAAGGAGCTGGACTGTTTTTTGAGGAGGGTGACCAGGCTGGTCACTCCAATGGGTACAGGTGAAAGGCAGGAGGGATGCCCCTCCCTGAGGAGAGTACGCTGAGGAAACACGTGTGATTGATCACCGTCTTCTGCTGCCATGGAGGAAGGACTAGGTCTGCTCGTTTGCAGCCATGAGTCTCACTTCACTCCACACAGGAGAAAATTTATTCTGGCGAGCAAACCCTTTGGATGTAATGAATGTGGGAAATACTTTAGCTGGAACGAAATCCTTCTCAAACACAAGAGGATTCATGGTGGAGAGAAGCCCTCTGAACGTAATGAAGGTGGGAAATTCTTTCAGTGGATACAGGATGCAGCTTCCCGTATCCGAACAGGATTCGGAGAGATCTGAGGCTTGCCTTTTGGACGTGAGACGTCTTCGGAGGCTGCAGAAATAAGAATTTCTGCCCTTTGAGGGAACTTGGGGGACCAGTAATCTCTTTTCCAGCCTGACGCACAAATAGGTGGTCACTTGGACTCCGTGTAAAGGTGCTGGAGGTGAGGTGGTGGTGGTGGGGCTGCCCACTGGACTCTGGGACAGCGCTCATTGCATTGAAACGTCTCCTGACACGAGCCTGAGGCTGCCGACATTTTGCGAACACCACCACCCACCTCTGCCAAACTGACTGCTCTGACCTGTTTCCCCATTAAAGAAAACCTCCCAGGTGTGACTGACATGTAGGTGTCTACCTCTTCTGGACTCCTCCAGGCTAAAGGTCCCTGGTCCTTCCACTAATTCTTGCTGTAGGGACCTGGGGGAATCAGAGGATCCCGGCCCCAGAGGGGGAAGGGCTAAAGCAGCAGAGGTCATGGAGTCCAAACACTGCCCTCCCCCCATTGTACAGAAGAGGAAACTGAGGCGCAGGGTCACATACGGAGTGGAGTGTCTGCCCAAGGGCCCCTGGGCCTCACCATTGTGTCCTGAAGATGAAGTGTCTCTCCCCCTTGAGGCTAAGGACTGTCCTGTCTCCCCTTCTTTCCATCCCCGGCAGGGGGCGTAATGCTTGACACCAAATACTTTAGAGTTTGAACCTAGGTCCTCTGACTGCAGCTCTCTCCAGTGGTCTGTGACAGACAGAGGCACGAAGAGGATTGGAAAGGGGAGGGACTAAGCATTTATTAGGCACCTACTGTGTTCCGGGGCGTTGTGCGGAGCTCCTTACAAATATTATCTCATTTAATCTTAGGTGCCATTATCATCCCCCTTTTACAGATGACAAACTTGACGCAGACAGAGGGGAAGACATTTGTCTAGCCACTGCTCCTAAGGCCCAGGACAAATCTGACTCCGAGCTCAGCTGCCTCTGGGGAGGGGAGGTGGTCCCTCTGCAGACCAGAGCTCAGACACACCTTCCCAGGATGGCCCTCCCTTCTGCCCCTGGCAGCCCCTCTTCCCTAGACTGTCCTTCATCCCCAGGGAGGCTGCGAGAGAGCCATCGTTCAGAACAAACACATCTCTTTTCTCCCCTGGGTTCATCTGCCTTCTAGAGGCTGATCTGGAGTGGGGCTGGTCTCTCTGCCTCAGCTGCCTCATCTGTAGAGCCAGGAGACCAATCTCACAGGTGGGAAGGGGCTCGAGTCCCTGGCTCCTCCTGCCTCCATACATGGCTCCTGGCTTTCTGTTGCTGTGGCAGCCCCTGCCTCCTGGTCCCTGGGTAGTAAGAATGCTCTCTCCTCCCCCATCTCTCCTAGCCTGTGGAAAAATCTCTCTTCTCCCTTAGACCTGTGGAGGCTTCAAGGTTTTTTTCTCTAGGCAACACAGAAAACAGGGCGACATGCAATATACCAAAGAAAAAAACAGAGTTATGGCCACACCCCCCATCAGCCCCCTCAGGGAGATGAACCTTCCCTGGAGGGCAGGTGGGAGCCTAGGACCCACCCCCTGTCCTGGGAAGATCTGATTCAGTGACTCCTGGGGAGTCTGCCCATGGAAGGGGCTGGCTACCTATTTGAATATTAACATAGAAAACAAGTTCTCCTGGAGCACAGGGAGGCAACCTCTTAGGCCCCGTGTCCTCCACATTTGTTTGCCCTCCACCCAGCCTTTGACACCAGCTGTGCCCATTCAGATCTCCTCCTCCCCTCCCCCTCACTTCTACATGGATGGACACCCACAGCTTTGAGCATCTTTACCCTGACTGAATTCAGGTGACCCCCACGAGTCTCTTCCCTTCTATGACAAGAGGAGGTGCCCCCGCCCAGGTCTAAGCCTTTTCCCCTGGCCTAGTGTGGCATCAGGAGGTCACAGGGTCAAGACAACCACACATCCAGAACTGGATTAAACTTTAAGGGTTCTCTAGTCCAAATCTCCATTTTACAGAGGGGGAAACTGAGGCACAGAGAGATTACACAACTGGCCAAAGTCACAGAAAGTGGCCGAGACAGGATTCGAACCCAGGTCCTGTGACTCCAAACTCAGCCCATTTCCCACTGTAGCACAGGTGTGCTGCACTCGGGCACACAGGGCAGCTGCCTCCTCTCTCCATGGGCCAGGCTCCCAGAAGAGGGGAAGAGGTGGAGGGAGCCCAACCACCCTGTCAGTCTACACGCATCTCCATCTGACTGCCCACAAGTGCCTGGAGGCACAAGGGTGGGTACTCAGGACCTGCCCTCGAGCAGCTTCTTCTCTGGCCATGCCACCAAAGGACGCCCCAAGCCCCTCTTCTGATCTGCCAGTGAAAGGTAAAGTCTAGGGATCATCTCTCTGCCTGCCTTCCTGGCCATCACCAGGCCTCCCCCTTCTCCTGGGTGAGCTCTCTCCATCTCAGTCCAAAGCACTTAGCAAGCACTTACTATGTGCGCCCCGCCATGTATTAAGCCCCCTATCCTTCACCCCAAGTGAGACCATTCCCCAAGGGCTCCCCCTCCTCCTCCATCCCTCCGACACCTCCCCCCACCCCACCTTCTCCTGGGTGCCCCTCGGAGGTGTCTCCCTCCCTGGTCACCTCGCTCCTGAGCTGTCCACCCCAGCACCACCACTTCCTGTCCCTGGACACGTCCGGCACTCCCCACAGCTCACACTCACCGTGGCCAAAGCTGACCCTCTTGTCTTCCACCTGACCCCCCTCAATCTCAGTACCTGCACCCCCCAATCTCTCCTGTCTCCACCTCATCCACACGCACATGCATCCACGGTGCTTTGCATGCTTATCTCCCACACTAGACTGTAAGCTCCTTCAGGGCAGGGATTTTGGGGGGGTGGGGTTCCTTCTATTCCGAGAGCTCAGCCCAGACCCTGGCACCCAGCAGCTACTTTCTAGAAGCTGGCCCCCTCCTTTGGCGGCCCGGGGCCCCGCCCACCACGACGTCACGCAGAGGCCCCGCCCCCACGGCGCGCCCCTCCTCCCGCCCCTGCGCGCAGGCGCACTGGCCCGCCGGCGACCGCACGCACCTGTTGGTGTCTCTGCAGCAGCGGCTCCAAGGCGCACACGCGGAGCACCAGCAAGTTGCGGAGCAGCTCCCAGCTGGTGCGGCTCTGGTACGCCGTCGCTGTGTTGCTGAAATCCACTGGGGGCGCGGGTGAGGGTGAGGGTGCGGGCCGGGGCGGCCCGGATCCGGGCTGGGGGTCGGGGCCCGTAGGAGGCTCGGGGGGCCGCTCGCGGGGTGCCGCGGCCGCCACCGAGGAGAACGGGGCCGGGCCGCGCCGAGGGGCGGTCGCACGCAGTAGCGCGGGCACGAGGGATCTCAAGGCCATAGCGCTGCGCCGGGAGTAGCTGGGTCACCGGCCTGGCGGCCGCCCTTTATGTGGCCACTGGCCCCGCCCCTGGGGACGAGGCCCCACCCCCCGGCGGAGACCAGCCAGTGAGCCAAGCGGGATAGGGTGAGGCCCTGCCCCCATACCGGATGAGCCTGTGAGCCATGCTGGGAGAGAGAAAGCCCCGCCCATCTCCAGACTGAGGCCCCGCCCCCGGCTGCACCGGGTGGGGAACAAGGCTCGACTTCCGGTTGTCTGAGGCCCCTTACCCGCCCGCACCACTGCTCCGGCCTCAGCCGTCTCAGGCTTTCGGCTCACATCGGCCACTGACCCCAGGTCCAGCCCTGTCTCCTGCTCCCCTTCTCTGGGGCTTCGCAAGGGGGAAGTGGAAACCCCCACGCCTTTCCTGCAGGCCACGCCCCATGCCGGTGGGCGGGACGTACGGCCACGTGTGGTTGTTTATCTAGGCCGGGAATTGGCTCTGGGGCTGTGGGTGAGAATGGGAGGGAAGGAACCTTGGGGGTAAACACTTCCTATTACGGGGTGGGGGGAAAGTCTCCCAGATGTCTCCCTGGTTTTAGATCTGGGGATCTCGGCATGGGGTCCGTCCCTGCGCTCACTCCATCCAAGCATACACTCGTGAATTCCACTGTTCCTGTAAAATGCATTCAATATGTGCATGCGGAGGTCCACTTGATGAGGCTTCGCTCCCCGCCCCGGGTTTTCCCTTGACCACTCTCTCTGAGGGGCTCCCCCAGATTGCCTCTCCTCCTTCGCTCCTGTCTCTGATGAAAATATATCTCAGCCTTTCTCCTCTGGGATCATTCCCTCCCTTTCTCAGCTTCAATTTCTCCTTCCCCAAGCTCTATAAACATGCCTAGCTCCCTGAATCCTGGCTTCCCCTCAAACTGTCTTCTGTCTTTCCTCTCTCTCTCCTTGCCACCTCCAGAGAGAATCATCTACCTTGCGCTGTCTTCCGTTTCCTCACCCCTCACTTCTCCACCCCTGGTGATCTGGCTTCGGATCTCATCCCTCCGCTGGAACGACTCTCTCCAAGGACACAATCTCCTCATTTCTACATCTGATGGCCTCTTCTCAGATCCCAGCATCCTTCCCTTTGGGCAGTATTTGACTTTGTGGACTACCCTCCACCGCGGGGGGGCAAACTGGGCCCTTTGAAAACAAACTCACTTCTGTTTTCGCCACACCGCGGAGTCCTGGACTGGAAGTCTTACTCTAGTATCTGTTAGTCTTCAGACTGTGGGCAAGTCACTTCTCTAATCTGGGCCACAGTTTCCTTTTCAGTAAAGTGGGCATAATCAGTCACCCATTTATTGCAAGCACTTACGGAGCACAGTACTTGTGCCAGGTTCTGCTATCCGAAAACGGGTTCCATAGACGGTCCCTGCCCTCAGGGAGCTTATAGTCTATCCCGCAGGGGTGGGCTGCCACCCGGTTATACTCATTGCACACCCTCCCATTGATTGCACTTTGGCTCAGTGGAACTGCGACATTAACAAAAAGCAATACTGAAAATATTATGAAAAATGTTTCCTCTAAAGCCCTTTCTAGACTCTTGGAAAGTCCCTTGGAAAGGCAGTTGATATAAGTCAGGGCCAAGGGAAAAAAAGCTCTTCATTAGGGGAATGTATTAAAGGTGATGACCAAATTCAACACTTGTCTTCCTCACATCATTATCTCCCCACTGGTTTGCAGTAATGTGCTAGGACCCACCCTTCCCAGATGAAAAAGGATGAAGATACCAATGGAAACCATATTAGAGGGCCAGTTTGGGTCTTCCTTCCCTCCCCTTCTCTCTCTCTCTCTCTCTTCTCTCTCTCTCTCTCTCTCTCTCTCTCTCTCTCTCTCCTCTCCCTCCTGAAAGCTAGAAATAGCTCAGATATAGATTAAAGATGAATTAAATTGTTTCTGGCAGTCTTGAACATAAATCACAGGGTACAGTATTGGTATGAATATTTTTTCTTCAGCAGTGGCACATAAAGACAACATCAAAAATACATAAAATAGGGAAAATGGTGAACTGTGTATTGAGAATGTGAGCTAATGGGTGGCCAGCACAAGTGCTCAATGGGTGTCTTAGAAAGAGGAGACTGCCCAGTGTAGCTGATCCTCTTCAGGGCTCAGAGTTAGGGAGCTGTTTAATCCTGTCTGACTCTCCATGACCCCATTTGGGGTTTTCTTGGCAAAGATCCTAGGGTGGTTTGCCATTTCCTTGTCCAGCTCATTTTACAGATGAGGAAACTGAGGCAAGCAGGGTTAAGTGACTTGCCTAGGGTCATACAGTTAGGAAGTATCTGAGGCCAGATTTGAACTCAGGTCTTCCTGATTCAGCCCTGGTGCTCTATCCGCTGCACCACCAGGCCTCCCTGGAGTCAGAGAGAATGCCTTCACATCCCAGCTCTGATGTTAACTAGCCCTGTGGCTGTGGGCAAGTCATTTTGCTTTTCAGGCTTAGTTTCCTCAACTGTAAAATGAGGGTAATAATAGTATTTTCTTCCCATGGTGGTTGTGCCTTGCAATCCTTCAGGTGCTCTCTGAAGGCTAGGTAATTATTATTTTGGGTGGTCTCTCCCTTGCATAGTTGTTGTGGAGGATCCAATGAGGTAAAGCATGGAAAATCCCATGTAACTGGTGGCTCTCTTCTCCTTGAACTGCCTCCCTCCAAAGGCGCTGTCTAAACGCTCGAAGCACCAGAAAAATCAGAGAGGAGACAAGGATTATGCTTATGACTACCATCTTTGCTATTCTTGTTCTTCTCCTCTTGCATTCATGGGATTCAGATAGAAACAGGCAAGAGACAAGTCTTCTCCTACTCTTGGACTGTTTCACCATGGAGCCAATGACTGCCCTTCGTAATTGAAGGAAGGGATTGGGGTGTAAGCTTATCCTCGGTGGGCTCACCAAGAGCATCTCTGAGGGCACACCGGATGATGGGGATGGCTTGAAGCTCTGCTTCTCCCCATCCTCTTCTGTAACTTTCTGTTCCACACTGTAGGCAATGGAAGAGTAGTTGGTACAGAGATAGCTGATAAAAATGTTATTCTGAAATGTTTAGGGTCAACATTATGTATCCAGGTAATGGGAAGCAATGATTTTGCCTGTTGTGATGCTCCATTTTGTTGGTTGAATTACTAAGGCTGTTCGGGAGCCTGTGCTGGGAACGCAGGGATTTGTCATCGGTTAAATGTTTGTGAAGGATGACAAGCTTCTGGCTGCCTGAGTGTGCCTTATATTCAGCAGGTCCTAAATTGTTGCACCCTGTGGTGCTGTTACGCCACTCCTAAGGTTTCCTTGAAAAGTTGGCATCCGTCCCCAAGTTCAGGCTTCTGAAGTATTGCTGAGATTTCTGGCTGCAATGATCCGGTCTTGTATTTGCTGTCAAAGACCCATTAGTTTCCACAAACAAACTTGCATGACTCAGCCATCTGTTCCATGATTTTTCCTTGGCATGTTGTTGATTGTGTTATTATTATTCTTAGCAGTGCTTCCCTGGGCAAGCTTTTGGGCCCGGTGCCGGGCAACTGCACGAGGGGCCTGGAGTATGCTGAGAACACAGGGGACCGTCAGGGGAGGGAGAGGGAAATGTTGGTCTGTAGTGCTTTTTTTAAAAATAAAATTTTATCAAAATCCTTTGCTTTTACATAACCTACATTTCCTAATATATCCCTCCTGGAGAGCCATATCACATAACAAAGAAGGAAAAAAAGGGGCAAAAAGTCCAATAAAGCTAGACTATTGAAAAAGCCTGGCATTATATGCAGTGTTCCATAGCCATAGCCCCCACCTTTGCACAAGGATCAGCTGAGGTGCTTTCTTCTGTTGGGGGGGGTGGTGGGAGGAGTGTCCGCCCCAAGAGCAATGGCTAGATCGCTTTGCACCCGTGCCTTAGCTCATTTGATCCTCGTAAGACCCCAGAGAGCTGGGAACTATGGATTATCTCTATCTGAGAAAGGAGAAGTGACCTGCCTGGGGCTAACACACCTCTACAAACAAATCATGTTTACTTCTGAGCCAGCTTTCAGGTCAGAGTCAGAGAGTCCTGGAATTTTAGACTTGGGAGGAATCACAGGGCTGGCCTAGGATGGGAATAATCCCGGGGACTGGTGACTGAATGACGGCAGGGGCAAGGGCAGGGGTAGGGTTAAGGGTAGGGGAAGGACAGACTCCTAGAATTTGCCATTCTGACTTAACGGAGGCTGAGGGATTGTCTAGTCTAACCCCGCCCCCCCCCCCAACTTGCTCGTTTTACAGAGGAGGAAACCAAAGCCCAGAGGGAGGGGAAGGGACTTCCTTGCCTGATGTGCCACTGGGAGTGGCCACCCAGACACTGGAACCCATGTCCTCTGCAGCCTCACTCTTCCAGATGCGAGTCAAAGATGACTCTTAGGCTCAGGTGGCCAGGAAGATGGTGGTGCCATTGACCAAAGGAAGCAAGGCAGGAGGAGGACTGGGTTTGGGGGATGATGTCATCATGGGTCCTGGGGGGCAAAGGACCGAGCACTGGGTTTGGAAACTGGCGCTCCACTTGTACCCCATTTCCAGCCCCTTCTAGGCCTCATCCATGAGGCTCTGCTTCTCGTCTTTGCATTCTGGAGCACGCTCCGTCCTCACCTCTGATTCTTCAAATCCTGGCTTCTTAGCTCAGATGCTAGATCAGGTGGGGTTCATCAGTATCATCAGAAGGGCCAAGAAGCCGGGCCCTGGATGACAGCAGAGAGGATGTGGTGATGGGGCAGCTCCAGAGAAGAGACCAGGCACTAACATCTGGGAGGCCAGCAGAGAGCCTTTGGTTTAAGAGGCAGGAAAGGAAGCTCAGACAGAGAAGTCAGGAATCACAGGTCCTGTTGCAGGACAGGGCGGGGAAGGAAACGGATGTGGAGGGCACCGGTGTCAGAAGTAGTGAGAACCTCCAGCTTCCTCCTGCAGCTGAGGCCTTTTCATGAATGGGATGGGCTGCTGACATTCTTAGGGCCAGTGCAGCCTTTCTTCCCAGATCCCTAAAGGAGCACTCCCTGGCTCAGGACACCTTAGTGGGATCTGAGACCTCCAGGCACAGGTGTTTAGCAGCTGGCTGGAAGCAGGCTCGGGGGAGACTTCATGCCTGTCATCTTGCTTCTGGGAATAAGAGGAAGAGGAATGGGGAAAGAGAGGGGGAGGGGGAGAGAGAGAGACAGAAGAGAGAGTGAGATATGGAGGGAGTGAGGGGAGGGAGAGAGAAGAGAGAGATATGGAGGGAGGGAGAAAGAAGAGAATGAGATATGGGGGGAGGGGGGGGAGAGAGAGAGTGGAGAGAGAAAGAAAGAAGAGAGGGAAAGAGAGAGGAGGAGAGAGAGAAGAGAGTGAGAGACTTCCGCTTCCAGGAGCCAAGATGGTGGAGTAAAAAGGTAGTCGCTCTCTCCCCTATCAACCTCTGAAAAACCTAGAAAATATCACCCCAGAAAAAAACCCTGGAAGAGCTGAACTAGAAGAAAGATGGGGAGCAACAGTGCAGCAGTCCAGCAAACGGGTCTCCCAGTGCCTCAGCAAAAATAAGGGAGGCAGAACTACAAGGGGCCCCAGGTGGATAAGTACCCTGCTGCATTCATCTGAAAGGAGGTGAAGAAAGCAAGCTAAAGGCTTCCTAAAGCCCCAGCCTTGCTGGTTCCAGCCCAACACCAGGTGAGCTGTCAGAGCCCTGCAGCCTCCAATTGTGAAGAAATCCTGAAGCCCAGGTGGTAGAAGGCAAACACCAACACCTGGACCTCTGAGTGCCTCAGTGAGGGGGGGGAACCGGTGGAAACCAGCTCAGAAAACCACCAGGTGCCTCGGCACTCTACACAAAGGAATCTCCCAGATGCAGAAAGAGGGAGACAACACTGCAGGGGGCCCCAGGCAGATAAACACCCTGCAGCACCCATCTAAAAGGAGCTGAAGAAAGCTAAAGGAAAGGAAAAGCAGGCAACCTAGAATTGCCTGAAAGTTCCAGCCTTGCTGATTCCAGCCCAACACGAGGTAAGCTGCCAGAAACCTACAGCCTCCAATTGCCAACATAAGAGGCCCCAGCACACAAAGCCAGTGACCAAGACCTAGGCTCCCAACACAAGAAGCTTGGGTCAGTGCCCTCTGTTCCCCAGCAGGAGAGCTCAATCTCTTTAAAGTCCAGGGAATAAAGAAACACCATGAGTAAAAAGAAAGTACCATAGATTCATATTATGAGAAGAGTGAAGATCAAGACAGAAATTCTGAAGAGGACAACATTGTCAACAAACCCACATCTGCAACAACAAAAGGGAATATGAACTGGTCTGAAGCCCAAAAAGCCTTCTTAGAAGAGCTCAAGAAGGATTTTAATAGTCAAATGAGAGAGGTAGAAGAGTCCTTCAAAAATACAATTGGCCAATTGGAAAAAAAATACACTGAAGAAAACAAGTCCCTAAAAAACACAATTGGCCAATTGAAGAAGGAAGTACAAAAACTAACAGAAGAAAACAATCTGTTAAAAACTAGAATTGGACAAATGGAAACTAATGTCTCTATGAGAGAGCAAGAATCAGTCAAACAGAAACAAAAAAATGAAAAAATAGATGAAAATAAAATACCTCATCAGTAAAACAACCGACCTGGAAAATCGATCAGGAGAGACAATTTAAAAATTATTGGACTACCTGAAAATC